TTGGTACGCAACTCTACCCCCGTGGACCCCACGCATACACTCAACTCGCTTCGAGCTACCGATCCCCCCCCCCCCCCGTCCCCCCAACCCGTGGACCCCACGCCTACACTCAACTCGCTTCGATCTACCTGATCCCCCCGTACCCCCCACAACCCGTGGACCCCACGCCTACACTCAACTTGCTTCAATACACCTGATCCCCCTCGCCCCCCCCCCCCACAACCCGTGGACCCCACGCCTACACTCAACTCGCTTCGATCTACTTGACCCCCCCCCCCCCCCACACTTTGAAAAATGTTTTGTGGGGTCTGCATGTAACATGTAAGATGCAGATTTTTTTGTAACATGTAAGATGCAAAAAACGATGCCCCCAACGATCTTATGGCACTTTGGCCTGCCCGCTGTTGTGTTCACGTGTAGGCCTACTTCAATGAATGGATAGACATAAATAGTCGCATGGATGGATACATAATATAGCGTATAGTTGTACGAATATTGGCATGTTTGGCCCTTCATAGTCTCTTCGACTCTGAATAGCTCACTCACTCACTCAGTCGAGCATGCAGCCAGTGCAGCTAGAATGCACTGCACTACACGTACGGCAGAGCTCTTGAAACTGAACGATGTTTTTCTCTGATTTTCTTGTGAAAACTTTCCTTTAATAAATGATAATCAAAACTCAGTAAACATGGCCAGAATAATCACAAAATAAGCTTTGATTTCATACCTCCACTCACGAAAACTATATAAAAATCCCGGCAATAATGATGGAAATAGGTCTCTAAGTTTGGGCGTGGATGGGAAGACATCTGTTGCGCTGATTTTATTTATAGGCCTAGATCTAGATCTAATTGATTTCATCATGAAATAAGCTAATAAATATCAAATAAAGACTTAACTCATTTAAATTTTAAATATTAGGTCTACCTTTTAATTAAAATTTAAAAAATGGTAAAGATTACAAAATCTAAAATATATAAAAACAAACACAGGGAAGAAAAAAAAACTTGTGACGGAGGCGGGATCGAACCCGTGCGTGCAAAAAGTGCAAAAGCTGCCGGTGAAACGAACGCAACCAGCGCCTCAGACCGCTCGGCCATTTTTACTTCATGCTAAAGCATGAAGTTCGTGACGGATAAGTAGGACGTGCGGACGCATCGTCGACGTCGACGACGACCGGGACGTCGCACCGCGCTGGGACGTGGTCGAGCAGCTGGATTAAAATGCCCTCTGTCCGCTCGACCGCCCGGCGGCGCCAGGGGGCGGGCGGGAGGGGAGATTTGGGCGCTGTAAAATGGACCCCAGATACCCCCCTCGACGCCTTAGAGTATTATTATACGGATTGTTGTCGTGCGTGTCCTCAGTTGGAACACTCCTTTCAAGTATCTGCAAATCAAAGGATGCGTTCCAACTGTATACTGTAGCTGCATGCAATCATCCGATAAAGTAAACAATGCAATGGCACCTCTTGCAGTGTTGACATGCGGCTGTGAGGTTGTTCAGCCTGCCTAGCATCTTCATTGTACAGTCAAACCAGCTTTAGTCCCCTCCTGTCTACAAAGACCACCTCTCTTCAAAGGCCACACATTTGTTTTTTCTTGAAAATGGTTTCTCATTGAAACATGTTACTAAAGGAACCTGTCTACAAAGACCACCTGTCAGCAAAGACCACTTTTCGGGCTTCCCTTGGGCGGTCGCTATAGACAAGTTTGACTGTATCTCTTGTATGGGTGATACTGTTGAGTATACTGATGGCCTTTGGGTCTCATCGTGACCCCCTCCGTTACTTGTAGCTGGTCCTGCAGGTCTTTAACTTGCTTCCCAAGATTGTCTCTGAAGAGAAGCTTGCTTACTTTGTTTCTGAGGGCTTGCAAAATAGACAGAACTTGCAAAATAGACAGAACTTCAGCGAAGTACTTCAGGCTTTATGAAATCCTTCCTAAGCATCCTGATGTTGACCCTTTACCGTGGCTTTTTAGGACCTAACATTGCTATGAAGGTAATTTTAGACTCCAAAATGTGTGAAATAAGATCATACCAATTCAGCTCTACTTTCAGAAAAATATGGTGACCGTTAATTACTTAATTAATTAATAATAACAATACATGGGCCTGCTGGTTGTGCGTATTATAACCAACACAAAAAGCCAACATAGGCATTGGCTGGAATAAAACGTACAATGTACATGTATAAGGCGCTATTTAGTTTTTTAAACGGCTGGTTCAAGTTATCAAATATTAAGGGGGCACCACAGATATTATAAATCGTTTTTTTAAATGGATATTTCAACCGTGTCTGAACTAATTTTAATCAAACAAATATGCTTTTGTCATTTAAATTTTATGCTTTTTTCAAATTTGACACTCAGTTTTTCATTATCTCATCAAAAAATTATTTTGTGTAGCGCCCTCTGCTAAAAAACTCAATTATCCCTTTCATTTTTAAAGGTTTTGTCAACCTTTCAAAGAAATATTTTCTTTCATTCCTCTCACCACATTCTTAGTTTCTAAACTATTGTCAACTTAACAATCGCTACATGATTCATACAGAGGATAAATGTGTGGGCTTTAAGTGCAATTCCACTTATTCCAAATGAATCGGTTTGCTTTTTTTCCTTCTGTCCCAATGTATTTGCATTAATAGATCACTACCAGTTGGCATGATTGAATTATCCAGGGCAAAGGAAGACCATGAGGAGACGTTTCTTAGTAAAGGTTATTCTTATTGAGTGAAATACATGTTACAAATAAGTGGCCCTCTCTGTACATGTATGTAATGAATAAAATAATTAATAAACATAGTATTTACTGAGACAGAGTTTAAAAGATATCCAAGGATGAGGGTGATTTTTTTAATCACCCACATACATGTACATGTAGGTACATGTATAATAATTAATAATAGTAATAGGCATTTCTATAGCGCCGTTTATCAAGAAATTCTATTTCAAGGCGCATTTATTATTACCCCAATTAGCCCAATTGACAGTATTGATTGTTTTGTCAAGTCATGCTGCAGTTATGTACATTCTATTTATTAGCAACACAGCAAACTATGCAATCAGTCATATTTTTAAAGTCACCCTGTACCACATAGGCTTAGCTCAAGTGACAGTATTGATTTTGTTTTTCAATTCATGTTGCTATAAAAAAAAAACTGTACATGTACATGTGACAAGACTATACTAACAGTTCATGTACAGACCCACTTATTTTCTTACCGGTACTTGAAGTTTGAATCAACATTTGCTAGACAGCAAATTAATGTTGTAGATTTAGTCTAGAAATTACATGTTCAAGTATTTCCTTCATTGTTCCACTGAATCTTAATATTTGCTATGCAACAAAGCTTTTGGCGCATGTAAAAAAAAAGAACTGGGGAATTCCCACATGCAGAGCAATTGGGCATTTCATCACAATAGCACACAGCATTCATTACAAAATTGTTGGCTCGTGTCCAAAAACCTGGGAATTTCCGCATGCAGAGCAATTATTCTTTTCATCACTATAGCACACAGTGTTATGTTGTGCCTTGCGCATTCAAAGAAAGAGCAGCAATTTATAAGTTACCTGTTGAATATGCTTTTTGGAGGAAGTTATTCACTCATGATTTACTGCACGACTATATAACTACCATCTGTGCCCACTTCTGTACTTTGCCACCATTTTATGTGAAGTGCTCGCTGTGTAATTATTTACATTGATAACATGCAAGAAATCTGCATTTCAAGAACTATTTCGGTGCTGTTGAATGCAGTGCGTGGCCTGATGACTTTGCCCATGCAAGCTAGCAAGCTAGTCCCTGTTGACTGTTACTGGTGCCTGTGCGTGGTCTGACGGTAGTGGTATGGAACATTCAGGCATTGAGGATCATGAACGACCTTTGCTGTCACTAGAACAGGATATACGGCAGAGTGGACACCTTTTGGAGACCTTGGGGAGTCAGTCTTTGCAGAACGCATTCTTGTATGGTGGATGGCTCAACATAGCCAAGAGACTTTTGGATCCTGAGGATAGGCGGGACAACGATGAAGTCACAGGCCAGTTTAATGCCTGGATTGTCCAGAATTGTGGGATTGGTGTTGTACAAGCTTGGCAACATTTAACGTTTTATGAACAGCAACGTGGGAACCAAAGGATTTATGAACTGCTTGGAGGAATCACAGCAACCCCTGAGGAACACTCTGAACAATCAAGCTCTATCAATCATCACCTGACAGTCTCACTGGAAGACTGCATCGCAAATCTACAGGAGGGTGATTCTTTGTTCGAGGTGATCAGTAATCACTTGCAGAGAGCAAATTCGATGTTTGGAAGATTGCTGCTTCTTGCACAGGCAATATGGACGCCCACGTCTGGCAATGATGAAGGAACAAGAGGTTTCTTTAGCTGGATTGAACGTAGCTTTGGTATCACTTATGATGTAGCCCAGCAAGTAATGCAGTGCTGTACATTGAACAGTAGTATGGATCAGAGACAGATAAGGGGAGCAGAAGAATCTGCAGAGAATAGAATTGCGAGAGCAGATGAAACCCGAAATGAAAGAGCAGATGAAATCGGAAGGGCTGATGAAATCGGAAGAGCAGATGAAGTTGGAAGAGCTGATGAAGCTAGAAGATTAGATGGAATCGGAAGAGTTGATGATATCAGAAGAGCAGACGAAATCGGAAGAGCGGATGATATCGGAAGACGACACGAAATTGAAAGAGCTGATGAAGTGGGAACAGCAGACGAACTCGGAAGAGCTGACGAAATTGGAAGAACGGATGTAATCGGAAGAGCTGATGAAATTGGAAGAGCGGATGAAATTGTAAGAGCTGATGAAATTGGAAGAGTGGATGAAACAGGAAGAGCGGATGAAATCGGAAGAGCAGATGAAATTGTAAGAGCTGATGAAATTGGAAGATCTGATGAAACTGGAAGAGCAGATGTAATCGGAATAGCTGATGAAATCGGAAGACCGGATGAAATAAGAAAAGAAGATGAACTCGGAAGATCGGATGAAATTGGAAGACCGGATGAAATTAGAAACGCAGATGAACTCGGAAGATCGGATGAAAGCGTAAGAGCGAATGAAATCGGAAGAGCAGATGAAATCGTAAGAGCAGATGAAATCGTAAGAGCTGATGAAATTAGAAAAGCAGATGAAATGGGAACAGCTGTTGATATTGGAAGACCGGATGAAATTGGAAAAAGAGATGACATTGGAAGAGCAGATGAACTTGGAAGAGCAGATGAAATCGGAAGACCGGATGAAATCGTAAGAGCCTATGAAATCGTAAGAGCCGATGAAACTGGAAGAGCCGATGAAACTGGAAGAGCGGATGTAATCGGAAGAGCGGATGTAATCGGAAGAGCGGATGAAATCGTAAAATCGAATGAAATGGAAACAGCTGATGAAATGGGAAGAGCAGATGTGATCGGACAAGCAGATGAAATCGGAAGATCGGATGAAATCGTAAAATCAGATGAAATTGGAAGAGCTGATGAAACTGGAAGAGCAGATGTAATCGGAAGAGTGGATGAAATCATAAGAGCAGATGAAATTGAAAGAGCTGATGAAATTGAAAGAGCTGATGAAATTGAAGGAGCGGATGAAATCGGAAGAACAGATGTGATCAGTAGAGCAGATAAAATAGGAAGAGCAGATAAAATGGGAAGATCAGATGAAATGGGAAGAGTGGATGAAATCCTAGGAGCTGATGAAATGGGAAGAGCAGATGAAATCGTAAGAGCTGATGAAACAGGAAAAGTGGATGAAATCAACAGAGCAGATGTAACTGGAAGAGCGGATGACATTATATATGTGAGTACTGATGGTTCCTGCAGTGGAAATGAAAGTGAAAGCACAGACAAAACAAGAAATACAGCTATCAGTATACATGTATCTGAAAACGAAAGTTTGTTTGGATCTGAAAGTGCAGATGAAGAACAGTCTACAAGTGAGACTCCTGTTACCTATTCCCACGCAAGTATGCATCAGGAAGGAGACAATGTTGCACCATTGAGCTCTAATAGGGATCCTCACCCTGTCAGTCCAACCCAGCAACAAGGACCATATGGATATCATGACACAACCAAAGGCAATCTACATCCAAATGTTGCTCCTTACTTAACAAGAAGTGTCTCTCATGGTCTTAGAAGTCAGGAAAAGACTCTCTCAAGGAGTGACACTGCCTTCAACGAAAATTGTGGAATGTCACCTTTAAATCCTTCAAAGCAAAAAGGACAAGAAGGTATTGAGTTGTACCAAAGAGGAGATACAACTAGAGATGGTTGCAGTGATGGGGAAAGGGATATGGAGAGAAAGTCGAGAGACAGGTTTTTAAGTGAGACAGTGCAGTCTCCCCAGGATGTGCCAACCCAGGACAGTCCTGCCCTTGACTCTGAGTCTACTTGTAAGGAAAAGCGATTAAATCAATTGCATGACACTAGTAGGTCTTCCTTGGCGATGAAAAGTGAGACTAGGTCAATTGAAGGAGCCAGCTTCAGTACCAGAAGAGAAACTGAGGTAGCTCGTCTTTGGTCTTACCATGAGCATCAGGATGACTTGTCTTTGGCAGTTCCCAAACAAGAGTTACAGAGATATGATAACAACAATTTTCTGTTTGATTATCAACATTCCTCCAAATTGGATGAAACACGAAGAGACTGCAGAGACACATTTCCTGGGGATTACCAAAGACATACAAGTACTATCAGGGATTCTGAAAGGAGCCAGACAATCCTGTCAAGGAATGATGCTGTCTTGTATAATGATAGAGAAGAGATGTTTCATGAACATGCAGCAGATGGACATCAAACCATCATTGGTCAAAGAATAGAGCCTTTTGCTACAGATCCCTTTGACATTGACAAAAGAAGAAGGATGGAAACCCGATCAGAAAGTACTAATTGCTCTTCAGAGACCAGAGGGGATGTGCCTTTGGACAACAGATTTCAAGCATCTTTTCCTCAGACAAGGGAAATATCCGTAGTTTATCAAAGCAATGCTCATCATCTTACAGAAAAAAGTAGTTTGCAAAGAAGACCAGATCCTCTAACCAGGGATGTTGATGCAAGTAAGGAGCCTGTCCATTCTCTAAGGCATGGCTTAGGATCTCGTCTTGGGCCAAGAAGAGAGTTCTTTCCCGTTTCACACGATACACCTGCTTTGCATAAAGAAAAAAAGAAGGGTGGTGGTGCAAATTATCAAGATCATCGGAATCTCATTGAACTGGAAAGAAGGTCCATAATGTACACTCAGGAAATGGAGAATAGCAGTTTTCTGAACCCAAGAGCAGGAATGCAAGCACATCATTGTCAACAACTGGGACAGAACCTTGACAATCGACAAAGTACTACGCCGTATGGATATGGTGGCACATCTTTTGCAGGTGATCTTTCACCACAGGATCGTGCTTCAAACGACTCTGGAACTACTCAAAGGACTGAGACTTGGCCTGAGTATCTGCCTCACTCCTTAGAGGAACAAAGAGAATGGTCATCTTTTGCAGGGGATCTTTCACCACAGGATCGTGCTTCAAACGACCCTGGAACTACTCAAAGGACGGAGACTTGGCCTGAGTATCCGCCTCACTCCTTCGAGGAACAAAGAGATCGGTCATCTTTTGCAGCGGATCTTTCACCACAGGATCGTCTTTCAAAGGACCTGGGAACTACTCAAATGATGGAGACTTGGTCTGAGTATCCGCCTCACTCCTTCGAGGAACAAAGAGATTGTTCATTGGGTGACACATGGAGAGTGCGCCTTGGGCCTCAAGTTTCTACCAGTGCCCCTCCCTGTGCTCAGGACTTGCAACAGAATAGAGAATTTCGGATGAATCCTTCAACAGTTCATGGATCAAACTTAGAACTACATGCATCTACAGTAGAGGATGATGCTGCTTGGACAAGAAATATGAAAACCAGAAGAAGGAGAGATCAAAGACAAAATAAAAGTCTGAGAGAAGGAAGGATAGACGGACAAACGTGTGGAATAGGAGAGGGACGAATTGGTGATTCTGCCTGGGAAAGAAGGATGAGAAACAGAAGAAGGAAAGAAAGACGGATTAGAAGTCTGAGAGGAAGGATGATAGGCAGACGATTACGTGGGGGACGAATTGGTAAATGGGTAGGAGGAAAAAGAGGACAGATAGGTGGACAAAGAACACTGATGAATATACAGAGAGGAAGACAAATTGGACAGATAGGCAGACAGAAAGTAGGAAGTAGAAGAGGACAGCAAAGTTTTGCTGGAACCCACACAAGCAGTAGAGGAGGAACAAAAGATGTAGACAGCATTGAAACGGATGTGGCCAGGCCTAAGGATGAGACGCAAGAACTTTCTTTTGATGGAAAGCAGATCGTCAAGGACAAATCTTTGTAAGACTTATAGATAGACACCCATGTGAAAATCTGTCTCCACTCTTCTCTCTGTCTCTCTCTCTCTCTCATCCCACTCTCTCTCTCTCTCTCTCTCTCTCTCTCTTTTTCATTCTCTTTGAATCTTCTTAACGTTGAGTATTTTAAAAGTAGAGTTTCTGGTTTAGGAAGTAATGCTTTAATATTACATGCACATGGAGACAAGTAAAGAGTATGGATCCCCCCCCCCAAAAAAAAAAAAATAAATAAGAAGGTTTCTTGTAACACCCTGTACTAGTTGTGTGTAGAGTGTGGAATTCCCCTTTGTTGCATTGTTTGTACTGGTATATTGATCTAGTGATATATATAATGATGAAATAACAGACCCTTCTACCGATTTCGCAAGAGTTAACGAGCAATAACTCGAGAACAGATCATTTTTTCCCGACCTTTGTACATGTAGTCTCTATAAATGCAGCCTTTGAGACATTAAATATTGATATCATTGTAAAAGAAGGTAATAGGTTTGATAAGAACATCAGCATTTTTCCCTGCCTTCCTTCATGCATTATATTTAATGCCACATAATAGGCCTCTGTTTTATTTTGATTTCGTGCTGGGTCAAAATTTGGAATTTATTTGTAACGCTTTACAAGGCATGATAGCTCAGTTGGTAGAGCAGTGGTCTCGTAATCCAGCGACCCGGGTTTGAAACCTAGTTGATGCGCTAGTGCCCTTTGGTAAGGCATTAATCCTCGTTACCAGGTCCCTCGGAGAGGACCTAAAGCTGTCTGTCCTCTTTTGCTTACTAACAAGCATTTATGCTTTCTTAGCAGTCTGGTAAAAAAAAACACTACTACTACTACTACTTTCAAGACAGGATTTATTTTTCTGTCTGAATTTATCACATATTGTTCTTCAAATTCGCAACAAAAAAACATTTTTCTTTTCTCGCCATGTAATGTCTTTAAAATTAATAAAAATGGGCAAGAATTTTGACTAAAAGTTGAAAAAAAATAGTTGATTTTGATTGACAAGCAAAGATTTTTGATCTCGCATCACGTTGCCAATCGTTCCTTTTGAAATTCCAGGCATAAGACACAGTGAAGTCGTCAAACAAAAATGGATGCAGTGTGTGCAGATATATTTGCCTTTTCTACGCATGCATTTTTTTAGGGCTCTGATTAACAAAATTGTTGTAAAAGCCAAACCAGAAAATGTGGAATGATTATTGTGATATGTTGTGTTCACAGATTTTAAAGGTACTATGTCCCTTTTGCAGCCAACCTCAAATTCTGTAGAACTTTGCAGGAATTATCAATATGTCATGTATGTCCTATCTGTGAAATTTAAACGTTAGCAGTGTCCTCATATTCAAATTATGCAAGGAAACCCGTTTACTTGCTAGACTTCACTGTCAGACACTATTGAGTGACTGACTGGCTTTTTTTTCTTCTTTGGTAATAACATACATGAACAGAGTTGTAAAGGGTACATGAGCATTTGTCTACATCAATAACCCACTTCTTGCGATGGCCAAGATTAAACTGACTGAATCTTTGCGCAGCATAAAACGTATGACCATTTGGTACAATTGTCTGAAAATCAAGACTATTACTTTTGGGCTCTATAGCCCTAAAGTCGATTTGACAAGTAATAGTCGTTATTTTCCCACTTGAAGACATTTTCAACCCCTACCTTTTTTTAGGGAAGTTCTAAATTAGTATTATCTTTCAAATGCAGTTGGAATTTAACTTTTTCATTTTTTGGCCTGCAAATGGGACATAGTACCTTTAAATTAAACTGCATAGCGATATATATTTTTACAGTTGCATTGGATTTTGACAGGGTTTGGGTGGTCATGAGCCAAGGGAGGCAAAAATATTTTCATTTTTTCTTGTTAAATTTGACAGTGAAACAAAATGTATTTGTAGAATCATTTACTTTAACGAGTCAGATTGGGATCGTAATGTTACAGGAATAGACCTGACATTCATCGTTTCGCAGATCTGATTGAATGGTTTATTGTTTGGAATGCTGTTTGGAATGCATTGTTTGTTTAGAATGCATGGTTTCTTTAGAATGCATTGTTTGGATACAGCTACCTTGACAACTTGGTCGGTTTGACGTCACACTTTCGTACTCTATTTCTTTTAAACTGCTGACTGTCTAAGGGCGCGTTCATGCTTGATTTTGACGGCCAGAATCAGGCATCTGTTACGCGTTTAGTTTAAAACACGGTTGCGTCTTAGCTCACTTTTGTAGAATCACCGAAAAACGGCGATCACGATCGCCGATCGTAAACTCACAAAAAGATGCGTTTACAATTTGTAAACGCGTTTAAATGGGGTCAACGCACTGACCTCTAGTGGGTCTACGTAGCATGCACAGTGAAGGTTTGCGAATCCAGCTGGAAGACCAATTAAGGCCACACACTGAGAATTGCCTGGGGGAGCCAGAGAAGTAAGCATGAACACTACATCGTGGAACTGCGATCACGATGAGCGTTTACGATGAGCGTTTCAGATCGCTCATTCTGCCTTCAAAATTTAAGCATGAACGCAGCCTTATAGGGAAAGAGAAACATAAAGTGATCTTTAAGGGATGTACATGCTAAACTATTCATACCCTTTCCAAGTTTGGTAATATTTTGGGGTATGTCAAACAAATTTTGTTCTAGATTTTTTTTCTTCTTGAGAGTGTGACATATAGCTTGCATTTAATAGTATTCAACAAAGACCCTCATTCAACTAGTCCACCTTTCATTCTTGAGTGACAAAAAAAAAGAAATGAAAAAAAAATGGAATTTATATGAATACAAATATAAATGAATATGAATAATTCAGTTGTTAGCTGTACTTGTATCCACATTATTACCTGTAATGGAATATTCCTTCTGAATCTGAGCAGGTTAGCTTTTTGAAATGCATGAACTTTGAATACAGATCTGTATAGTTCATGCACTAGGACAATGCTTCGAACTAGGGAAATGTGCATGTTATATTTCCTTCCTCTTAATATATCCTTATACAGTACATTATTAAAAATAATCCTTTCTAATGTTTCCTTATAGATGTGTCTGGGCATTTTAAACCTCCTTTAAAACAACCTTTCTGTTTTTTCTTTGTTGCCTTGCAGAGTCAGTCCTGCTGATTGGCCACCAACCTTGAAGTAAGTATTCACATTAATTTAAAGTTCTATATCTTAATCAGGAGAATATGTGTGTAACCGCACAGTACTTGATCAGTGATAATTATCAATATCTTTTCAATTTGAATACCCCAAATAAATCTTTACATTAAGTAATACAATTTATTGTATTGTCCTTTCATCTGAAATAAAGTTTTACATGCAGGTAATAACTTTTTAGTTTTTAGGTGTTTTTTTTTTTTCTTCTATGCTTTTCATTATGCATGTTTAGTATGTCGGACTTCTTTGAATAAACGTTACGTGTGGAATTATACATATCATTCAATAATCATTAACATACCTGGAATTAGCGTTTGTTTGCGGGACGAGATGACAACTTATTAAAGCCACACTGTCCTACTTGTACCTACTTGCTCCCTCTACATAGAAAACAATGCCTAATCAATGACCATTGGTCCCCCATGATCCTTTTTTTCTTATGTTAATTGAGAGCTGAGTTGATGAGATAACCACCTGTCCAATGACCTTGCAGTGTGGTCTAAACCCTTCTATAGACAAGTGCAGATAAGCTTTAATGCATGTCTTGCCATTCGTTGTCTTTCCACAGGGATTACGTCCAGAGAGTCTTCAATTCTTGCCAGAATGAATCCGAGAAGGACAAGGTGGAGTCCCACCTCAAGAAGATCCTGACCGAGGCTCACAGCCAGGGCACTGTCATGACCAAGGACTGGAGTCTGGAGCCCCTCCCTCTCTCCGCCCGCCCCAGCCCCGCCCGTCCCAGCCCCAACCCCACCCCTAAGTCCTCCCATGAACAACCCGAAGCACCCTGGAGCGCCAGGCGCAGCCAGGAGAACCCGCTCCGCATCGGCAGCGATGATTACCTGGATGTATCTAGACAGGGGATCGGGCAAGGGCGGGGCCGGGGGCGTGGCAGAGGGCGTGGTCAGTGGAATAAGATGCCGGAGAACCAACAGAGCAGGTAGGGAATAATAATAATAATAAAAACGTTGCTTATAAAGTGCTTATTTATTTATTTATTTATTAGTCTTTTTTTAGTAGGGTGGCTCCATCAGTAGTTAAATACTGTTTTCCGTGGAGGCCCTACCACCGAATTCTCTAAGCGCTATAACAAACAAAATAGACTGGTAAACAATTACATATTAAACAAAACAAAAAAAGTGTAAACAAACCTACAAATTACTATACATATGAAATACACATCGATGTGAACAGAGTAAGTTAATCATCAAAAGCAATTTTGAATAAATGTGTCTTCAGACAAGTTTTGAATTGGTTAACAGTTTGACAGTTTTTGAATGTCAGCATAGCATTATTTGAACTTAGCTATTCTTGCCCAAAGCCATGACTTGGTAAAGTACCAGATAAAAAATACTGCTGCACAATAAAACCATTTCACATGTAAATGAATAGTAAGTGGACTTGGCTATAAAAGCTGCATGCAATGAAGGCCCCTAAGCATTCTTACTTATTCGTATGTTGTGAGATACAGACATATGAATTACACTAGCTGATATCATTTAGTTTGCCTCGGTTGATAAGAGGTTTACCGCATTGAGCGTATGGGGGCTGTGTTAGACTAACAGTATTCACAGATTGATATGACTTTTACAGGTCAGGAGGGTTCATGCTATCACTTTTGCATATACTTTGCCCTTCAAACTCAAGAATTAGTTCTTCTGAATCTTCAACATATCAGCCCCTGAAATTGTTGATTTACTGTGCTCTGTTCCTTGTCATTTTGTTGCAGATAACTTGTAGTTCAGATTAAGTAGTTTTAAAGAGGTACTGAACTGATGAAATTTGTGCCCTGGTGTACTGTTTACTGCACAGCGCCATCTCATGGTCAACTTGCCAACAGTGTGTAACAGTGAGATACTGGACAATACTGCTACAGCTGACCTGAGATTGCGCTTGAGCGGTAGTGCTTCTGGGACAGTGTGGCTTTAATAATTTTTAAGTTTATTGCTTTCATTTGCCCAGGTTCCCCACCCGTGTAGCTGAGCCAGCTAAGGGGCGCCACGGCCGCAAGATCTTTGGCTTCTCCAGGGACTTCAGCAGTGACAGTGGTAGTTCAAATAGCCGGTCTAGGTCCCGGTCTAGGTCCCGCTCACCGTCTAGGTCTAGAAGCCCTGGTTGTAGCAGGTCTCCCTCTTCAAGTTCACGTAGGAGAAGAGCGAGATCATACAGAGACAGAGAGTGAGTGTAATAAAGGACAAGTCGAGGGTTCAGTGACACAAAGACGTAACTCCATACTTTGCCAAAATGAGTACTTGATATCAAAATGTTCAGAAAGATGTGGGCTTTCCAGGAAACACAAAGACATAACTCTACCAAACACCCCATTGAAGTCAATGGCTAGTGAAACATAGCCTTAACTCCTTAAGGCCCAAGTGCTCAGAGACACATAAACCACTTTTTCTCAAAATGGCCAAAATGGAGTTATGTCTTTGTGTCACTGACCCCTCAGAGTATGCCTGTTATACTTAGGAATATTGGTTTCACAAAGTTGTAGTGGTGAATGCTAAAAGAGAATGTGTGGCTTGAAACATTGCCTTCATGATGATAGGAGTCCTGTAAAATTTAATCTCCCCTATTTGCTGTTTGAGCAATGAAAAGTTGTTATGATTAATTGGTTTGCCTTTCTTCAAGTTAAAGCATAATATAGGTGGTTCAAACTTTTGCAAAAAAAATTTAAGCATGATTTCTTTGAAGATTTTACTTTTTATTGTATTGTATGTTTGATCTGTTAACACACCGGACTCGCAGAATGTTTCATGAATATGATTTCTTGCAATGTTACCGTGGAACAGGCTCCCTCCTCAATTGAAACCATCACCAACATTGAACAATTCAAACAATTGCAACTCTCGTTATTATAACTATTATAATAAGCAAGCATTGTAACATTTTGTCAACTAAAATCTCAATGTCAATGAATACATCACAAAGAATCAAAGTATTAACAATTCAAATGAATGTAAATGAAATAGAAATCAAGATATAAGTTTAAAAAAATAAAACAAATCAAGATATACAAGACACATATATTTATATATATAGATATATATATTTAAATAAATATGAAAACAATTCAAATTTAAACAAATCATTTGAATGAGAGCAAATACATTTGTAAATTCATACAAAATAAAATCATAAATGATTTTACCCATCATCCTTCCAGTGATCGGGACAGAAGATCTAGGAGCCACGAACGGGACTACCTGTCGCTGTCTACTGATAGGAAGGAGAAGGGCAAAGGTCGCGGCCGCGGGAGGGGAAGAGGTAGGGGGAGGAAGAGCGAAGAAGCGGAGATTAACAGAAGGAACGAAAGAACACCAGGCAAGAAAGGACCGAAGGGGAAGAACAAGTAAGAACTGAGTAATAATAGGGCAATTCCACGGTAACGGAAGGACACTCAGACAAGATTTTTGAAGTTCAGGTTCATACTAAAAGAAATGTTTTATTAGTATGTATTAAACTATGGGGAACAAAATGTGTTTCAGTCAAGTGGAAAGCTTCATCAACTTCACAAAGTTTGGATAAACACTAATTAACTGGAAAAACCATGTCCATTTTTATGTCCTTCCGTTACCGAGATAATTAATATGCACATTCTTAAACTACTTAACTATAATGACAATTTTTTTGGGGAGAATTGAAGGCACTTATATAGGTATTATATCTGTACTGTTTCACATCTTATACTAATAAAACAGTTCTTTTAGTATGAACCTGAAGTTCAAAAATCTTGTCTGAGTGTCCTTCCGTTACCGTGGAATTGCCCAATAGTAATAGCAATGTTCAATTCTTATATAGCGCATATTACATAATTGCTTAGATATTAGAGAGAGAGAGAGAGAGAGAGAGAGAGAGAGAGAGAAGAGGAAAGACATGAAAAATATTGAGCTTTCATCGTTTATCACTTAAAACTATCAAATCAATTACAAAATTCACATGTTTACTTAATGTTTAGTGATGTCTTCTCTGCCTTTAGGTTTGAGAAATAATTATCCGTCTGCTAATTTCTCTACATTCATTTTGTTTTACAGATCTATTATTAAATGTAATGTGCCAATTTGCTAATCATTTTCTTATTTCTTTTGAATAATATGCATTTTCCCTAGTATGTGTAATATGATACGTTTCAACAAAATTATCTTCTAGAATAAAATTTGTCAACGTTTTACACTACTATGTAAAGCGCATAGAGACTTCATGAGTATAATGTGCTAGATACAAATTTACTTGTTATTAAGAACCTTAACAATGTGTGTACTTTTTTCCTCCTTAAGACCCCTTCCCCCCAAAAAAAACAACACACACAACAACAAACAAACAAACAAACACCTACATGTACATGTAACAGGACTGTGATATTTTGGGGGTGGGAATTGTCCCCCACTGCGTGGAAATAGCTAAATTTGGAGATCAGTCTCCTTTTCATCTATTTTGTTCAAACTGTGTTTCTCTCTGATATTCCTTGAAGATTGCAATTGATACTTTCATTTGGGAACCCATGAATGTATGTGGGTATTGTCAAGTGCTAGAAAAAACCTCATAATGCTTTGAGTGGTTTCATAGAATTTCATAGTCTTATTTTAATCTACAATTGCCACTCTTCATCCAGGTGTTAAATGGGTACCCGGTAGGATGCGAAAGTTAATGTAGTTTGCTCAGCATTGTGAGCTTCTGTAGAATGACGCCTGGCTGGAATGCTCCCCAGGGAGTGGAGAATGTATATATATCGTGTGTGGGCAAGCTTGAATCCAATGACCAGGGTTATGATATATCTGTAAAGCGCTTTAAAGGTACTTTGTCCCTTTTGCAGCCAACCTCAAATTCTGTAGAATTTTGCAGGAATTATGAATATGTCATGTATGTCCTATCTGTGAAATTTTAATGTTAGCAGTGTCCTCGTATTCAAATTATGCAAGGAAACCCGTTTACTTGCTAGACTTCACTGTCAGACACTATTGAGTGACTGACTGGCTTTTTTCTTCTTTGGTAATAACATGAAAAGAGTTGTAAAGGGTACATGAGCATTTGTCTACATCAATAACCCACTTCTTGTGATGGCCAAGATTAAACTGATTGAATCTTTGCGCAGCATAAAACGTATGACCATTCAGTACAATTGTCTGAAAATCAAGACTATTACTTTTGGGCTCTATAGCCCTAAAGTCGATTTGACAACTAATAGTCGTTATTTTCCCACTTGAAGACATTTTCAAGCCCCACCTTTTTTAGGGAAGTTCTAAATTAGTATTATCTTTCAAATGCAGTTGGAATTTAATTTTTTCATTTTTTTGGCCTGCAAATGGGACATAGTACCTTTAAAGGGATCCGGTAACTTTGTCTCAGATTATGAAACAAAATCTTGGATTTAGCTCACGCTGCAATGATAATTATAAACATTTAGGTCAGTCAGGAAACCCATGACTTTTACAAGCCGATCGCCTGTCTGATTATCAAGATATTTATGATTGGAAATCGAAACCAAACGGTACAGTCTATTGGGTAAAATGATTATGGTAAAACCGGTCACTCAAGGATTTTTACTTTTTGAGGCACTTCTTGAAGCACAATTTTTTTTTAGGGTTTCAATATTACACCATATTACAGACACTGATAACACGTAGGGCCTTGCATCTCAGATTTAACATTATGTATTAAGCATTACGTATTATTATTTTGACCACGCCTTTATGTTCTGCTCAGGAATGTCGGGGATGTGAACTATGTGAATGATAAGGAGCGTGCGATGCGCATGCAGAAGCGCGCAGCCAGATTCCAGGACATGTTAGGGGAGGAGGACAGTCCGTCTGGCGGTGGCAGCGGTGGCAAGAAGCAAAGAACTCAGAAACTCTCCCTTCAGATCAATGAAGTCTTGGTAAGATTGATTGATTGATTCAAATTTTTTATTCCATTTCATATATCAATTGTTTGCACAATAAAGAACATAGTTTAGAAAGTAAGTTCAAAATTATGAAATGAAACAGGAACCTGCATAGCTTGTTTTTTGTAGGTTCCCAAGAATAAATATAACATGAACATTATTTTCATAAATCATCTTAAAGTGTCTTAATAATCACAGTAAAATAGAAATGAAATAATAACATATTTTTGTAAACCCTTTTATAGTGTCTAAATAATCAAAATATACAACAACAAAAACAGAATTACAAAACAGGACACAAAGGACAGGAAACTGACATAATAAGATAAGACAGGACATGATAAAACAATTCGCAACACAACAAGATAAACAATACATAACAGGACATAACAGGACAAAACAAGGCAAGAACAAAGCTGCACACTACAGAAATTAGCAGAAGAGATGACAGAAGGTCTTAGAGATTTTTCCTTTAGTCCCAGTTATTGTCAGTTTCAGTATGTTACAGATCGCTGTTGAGAACACTCTTGTAAAATTACGAATAATCGTTTGGCAGTCTTCCTCATTGCAAGAAAATAAATCAAAGAAATCTCAGGAAGTCAAATAATTCTTGTTAAGAGAACACAATTCTGTTGCTCCATCTAGCTGTACAGGCCAATTCTGCAGAAATTCATAGCTTATGATTTGTTCATTTCATTTATTGGTTCAACCATTTTAATCAACAAAAAAAAAATTGAAATTACAAACATTGTTAGAAAGATATATACATTAAACATATTTGACATACAAAGTAAAAAAAAATGGTTACGGAACCCACACTTTGTCAAAGGCCTTCTCAGCATCAAGAAGGGCAACATAGGTGGGTTTCTTGCTGGCAGTATTAAGCTCTATTGTAATTTCAAGGCAGCAAGATGTGAGTATGCAAGAGTGCCGTGTTTGAAATCCAAACTGGAGCTCATCTGGAATGTCACTCTGACGGGGGGATCTCTCAATATGTGGTTTGAGAACCAGTTCCAGTAACTTACATATGGTTGATGTCAAGGTTATCCCTCTATAATTGTTGGGGTCTCTAGGGTTTTTGGCCTTCCCTTTACGTTAAGGCAGCACAAGACTCTGTGGGGGTGTATGATTCTGTCAAGAAGGCATTGAATATCAGAAGTATCAGTCTTCTAGCAGTGTCATCTAGGTATTGGATGTCCTCGGAACTGATGTTATCAGGACCGCCTGCTTTGCCTTTTTTGAGGTTAGCAGCTGCTGCGTTCAGCTCTTGGGAGGTGATAGGGCTGTTTCCAACAAGGATGGGATGCTAGCCTTGCATTCTACTGGAGTTTTGGTTGACACATGGCAGTCTTGATTATTTGTTGATGGTTCAACCAAGTCTGTGAAGTAACATTTCCATCCTTCAGAAACATCAGCTCCCTGGTACGGTTGGCCTTTGTATTCCAGAATTTCTGTTTGAGACTTTGCGATATGGTTGGCTCGTTGTCAAACAAAGAGTAGGCCAACAGGAACCAGAACAGGAAATTAAAATGTTGGCAAATATATTGTCATATCCTGTACTTTAATACTAGAGTCAATATTTCTTACATTTCATTTCATTTCATTTATTTTTATATTTCTGATGTTACATATACATTTCAAAATAAAGTACAAGTTATTTTTTGTATGATAACATAACAATCAATAAAACATCATAAATAACATAAGGATAAGTGGTCAATAGAGAGTACTGATTTAACTGAGAGAAATATGATGGGACCTACATGAAAGCAAGCTTGTAAAGCTGTAGCGTGAAATAAATTTACATCATGACATTAGATGTACACAGTAGGTAGATTATATTTTTTGATACCTTATTTATTTTTTATTTGTAATGCACTGTGAAGTGGTATCTACTATGTGTTTTTGTTAATTTTTGTTTTGTTTTGTTGATTTATTCTTTCAGACTGGTGAAAGTGATGATGTTGAATGGTCAATGGAACCTATAGTAGGCACCAATCAGGACGAATGGAAACAGTACCTCAGGCTCACATCCGTAAGTCATTCACCATTGTCGTCCTTTGACATTCAGCTGACAGTCATTTCTTTTTCACCCACAATGGTATAGGTATCTTCCCATGTAGGTCTTATCATATCACTTCAAAACGGAACATAAAATCTGTTTGATAATAGAAAATCAAATAATTTGAATCAACATTTTAAGCCTTTTAAAATAACTTTTACAAAATATTTTCAAGGATGCTTACAGCTTTCCATAATTGTTAAGTCCAACTTAGAGATAAGTTCAACTTTAGGATCTTTGTGAAACACCCCCCAGATTGCTTTGGCCTGCTTGGCAGTAAAGTGAGTTCTACAGATTAAAGATAAACTTGAGTTCTGGTAAAAAGAAAATGAATTCTCACAGAATCTAACAAAACTTACACTGAATGTTCAAGATTACAAATAAATGTCATGTGCCAAACAATTTTGGAAGAAAATGTATACTGGCTGAGTAATGAGCATAGAAAGATAAGGAAATCAGGGTAGTACTAGCCCTGACACCATGTGTGTTGTCCCATATACATCTATCTGTGTAAGTGATTGTTACTTTACCAAGACTCTGCCAAATTTATGATGATTTTGATGACTCTAGAACCTTGCATTACACACCATTACTTACATGCTATATGATCAACTTTTCTGATCTATTCCACACCTTTTCTTTCACAATGCAATCGCATTACCAGTACTCAAGTTTATCTTTAATGTTACATCAGAGAAAATGAGTGATAGTCATAGCCATCACTTTTCTGCCCTTTCCTCTTCCTCCCTCCCTCCCCTCTACAAACTAGGCGCCAGACCCATCTCAGGTAAGACCGATCTCTGTCCTTCGTAAGTCTCTGGTCAAGGTCAAGGAACGATGGAAGGACAAGCAAGACTATCGCTTCGTGTGTGAGCAGCTCAAGTCAATCAGGCAGGATCTCACGGTAAGTTAGCAGAGAAAGACAACGTACCACTGACGTGCTATGGCATAAGAAGTTTTTCTTAAAGCCTGTCTGTACTAGTTCAGCCAGGGGGATTAGACCTCCATGCAAGGTCACAGACAGCTAGATATCTCATCAAAGCAGCTCTCAACTAACAAATAAAGGGAATCATGGGGGACCAACAGAGGGCGCAAGTAGCTATAAGTAGTTCAGTGTGGTTTTAAGATTCAGAATGTTAAAAATGGCAAGGTATGCAGTAGCAGAACAGCATTGGAATTGCAGAAAGAAAATGAATTACTGCACGGTTCTGCAGATCCTCGAATTGGCAAAATGTATGGAAAATGTCAAATTATGATTATTCTGTTTAAATTCTCATTTACTTTGCTTTAGATATATGGGTATGTTTTAAGTTTAGAAATGTGATATTTTGTAGAAAGTAGGAAGAATGTGATTTGGACAGATAATTTAATTGCCAAATTGAAATAGGCAATTACATTTATTTGTCTTTGCAGAAAATCGGGTGGCCCGCAAAACAAAATTTGACCATGGTTGTAAGAGTGGTATATTACCTCATAATGCCAATTTAGGCCAGTTTGCCAATAATTTTTTTTTAACAGATGGTGTGTGTTTCATTTGAAAGTAACTTATCTTTTATTCCCCCTCTACGATACAGATACAGTGCATCAGGAATGAGTTCTCAGTTGAGGTGTATGAAATGCATGGAAGGATAGCTCTTGAAAAGGTGAGAAAAGTAGATGGGGCGTTAGGACTACCTCAAGATTATGTTTTTTCCCTTCTATCGCAGTCAAGGTTTTGAGTAATAATAATAATAAATTTATATAGCGCAGCTTTTATACAAAATATATTCAGCTGCGCTGGTTAAGAGCTCCTTTTTACTAAATTCTACAAAATAAGATCTCTTAGTTGAACAAATAAGTTTTTAAATTGGATTTGAAAACATTGAGAGATGGAGTAGAAAAAAAAAATGAGAATAATCCCATAAGTTTGGATTTAAATCAATAAAATTAAAATTGAATTGAATTATAAAATATAGAAAGACAGAAAAAAAAGAAAGACAGAAAGAGAGAAAGAGAGAGAGAGAGGGGGGGGGAGCATGTGGACAAGGGGGGGGGGGGAGAGGAAGGTAGTTGGGGGGGGGGGCTAGCATAGACATTCAGATATGTTGAAGTTGGAGTTTCTTCGCTGTCTGCTGCCTCACTGGAGAGAAGATAGGTGACATTGAATAACCGGGGTCCCTAGTCGGTGAACGATTTATAGGAGGAAGTATCCATCTGCATATTTAGGATTAATCACGTTATCACTGTCGTCTGTCTTCGCTCCAGTGATCCAGAGGCGGTAGACAGCCAGGAATTGCCTAAATAACGTGTAAATATAATCACATATTTTCTTTCTACAGGGGGATGTCCCAGAGTTCAACCAGTGCCAGACCCAGTTGAAAGCCCTCTACGGTGAGGGGATGCCCGGTAATATCCATGAGTTCCAGGCGTACCATATACTCTATAACATCTCTATGGAGAACACCATGGGTATCCTTTACATTCACACCGGTCTAAAGAATACATTCTTATTTCTTGTATGTGGTTTTGCTGTTTGTCAATTATTTAATATCATTCATTTTGTTTTTAGTATTGTAGTTAATTAAAAGATCTACATGTTCTCACATATCTGTAATATAAGTATAAATAAATTGCACCATTCATATTCTCTAGGAAAAAAAAGAGTTTTTTCCTTGACTCCTGCACCCCTCCACCAGAAATGAACACTACCCTTGCGACCCTCAAACCCGAATCCCGGAAGGACCCCTCGGTAAAACACGCCCTGGCGCTGCGCTCCGCCTGGGCCATGTCCGACTATCATAAGTTTTTCAAGCTTTATCGTACCGCCCCACGCATGGGGTCCTATGTCATTGATATGTTTCTAGCTCGCGAGCGGAAGGCGGCGATCAAGATCATCACCAAATCGTACGTATACCTCGCCTTTGTTCTGTTCCTTTCTAAGAAAGCAAAAGAGCAACTCTGTATCGGGTTCCCATTACATTCAAGGTTGCTGTTAAAGTTTTATACTGTTATACATATGGGAGGGGGGTTGCTTTTATTCCGGTTTCATATTATTTGGTTGATGAATATTTTGTTTGGTACAAAATGCAAACCAGGGAGATAATGTTGAATAATCAAGACAAGTTATGAATTTGGTTCCCCTAGATTAAATATTTAATAGGAAGAAAATACAGAGGTGATGAAAAAAGAGAAGAAATAAGTTGTACATAAATGTAATGCAATATTGAGACACAATATACTTAGATGAAAAATATGCAGGAATAAGGGAGAAAGAGGACTCTTTGCTCTCCCATTTTTTCAGGGATAATTTTCCTTTCTTGTAAATTTGAATTGAAGGTACATGTGTAATTGTGTGTTATAGTATTAAACTACCTTTTTTGTACTAACAATTGAAATGTTAAATTCTATAGGCTCGGTAAGTATGAATTCAGACTTCTATTGTAATATTACAAATAGAGAGAGATAACTAAGTATCTAAATTCATAGTATGATTTGCACAAACAAAGGAAAACTATGAGAGCTGATGCTGAACTATATAAATTTAAAGATATATATTTTTAAGATTCATAAAATGTAGATATTTAGCACGAAGTGTATAATATCAGTTTAGAACTAAGGGTAAGTATGTATATAGCATGATTATTAATTTAATCCTACTAATGATTTGAATTAATATGTGTATAATATTTCTAAATCTTGTGATCAATTATCTGCTTTAAAATAATGTATGTTTTGGTTCATGACGATTTATCAAGCTTCAATATATAATAATATCAATGTGATATGTCTCATGATAAATATGTCCTTTTTAATCACTGCCAAGGTAAGTATTTCTTTCTTGTAAGATTTGTGAAGTTTTCATTTTTGTACCAGTAGTTTATTTATTTTTTATTGAATTGCTTCTAATTTGTGATTTATCTCTTTTCCTCCTTCCACATTCAAACCTGTCTTTCCGCTGGGCTGCTAAAATTGTCCGCATCGGTGTAGATTTCGACCCATGGTCCCCGTAGACTACATGGCAAACAGCCTCGCATTCGACAGCGACGAGGAATGCATCACATTCCTGACGGAGCTGAATGTCGTGTTGAACGCGGATAGGACTAAAGTGGACTGTAAACAGAGCGCTGCCGCCATGGCTGTGGCTTGAGCTAGTTAGAATCATACCCCAAAAGTTAAATAGAAGCAAAGACTTAATCATTGACCTAACAAACCAGAAATTCAAGCGAGATTCTATTCAAGGAATATCTGCAGTTGGCTTTGACTGGCCACTGGCATACTGGTTTTTGGAACAGTTTTGGAGAGGAAACAAAAATTAGAAGAGAGTTGGACTTGCATGGCCCATAGTTCTTTTCAAATGAAGAAGAATGCAGCAAAGAATGTCAATTATTTATTTTGGCTGATCACAGTTTTACAAGTTTACAGTAGAAATGGGCCTTCCTATAGACCCTTACACAGGGAAGTAATCAGCAGATATTGCTCCAACATTGAAGGAGATTCACCTTTGCTTTCGAGCATCTATATTTGGAAACTAGAATTTCTATGTCATGGTATTTTCCTGGTGTGGTAAGAACTAGGAAATCAAAATTCTTTCTTAATTGTCTTGCACCTTCAATTTTAGTGTGTGTCTTGTGCTCCAAACTTCTCATATGATAATCTCGGCAAATCAGTTTTATGTAAAGAATATTTATATTTAAAATATAAACATTTGAAATAATTACAAGACAATGCTACATTTTTATTCTGATTGAATGAATTGGCACATACATATATGTAGAAATAAAAGATATTAATTGTAACATTTCTTTCTTTTCTTCTTCCTTTTATCCTACAATATTCACAGCAATTGTCTAAATGTTTGTACTCTCTCAGTGTATCTATATTGGTTATATATTTATTTGAAAGGTGGTACTTGTTAACTGTTCACAAAATATCTTTTAAATGTAACTTCCAGATTCTAACAATGCCATTCAGGAAAGGTTTTCATCCTCCTCTTACAGTATTGATAATTTACAAAAAGATGTTAGATATTGGATTATTGGTTATTTTCTATTGTTAATTTAAGCTGAAACTTCAATAACTATGGAGTATCATCAGAATTTATGTCAGTGGGTTTATGTGCAATTCAAAAAACAAATGGTCTGTTCAGGTACTTTAATTTGATTTTCTTGTAGAAATATTTAACATGGTAGAGATTCCATGTTAGATCAAAAGCTCTGTTGCTTTTTTTTTTAATTTTTAATTTTTATTTACTCACTTCATTTACATATTACATTGCATGAGTCAACAACTTAGGTTAACATTTTTTTAATGGATCTGTCATAGTGATTTTCAATTCAAATTATTCTATAATATAGACATGAATACTGCTACAAGATTTCAGTGATAAGAAATGACAAAATAAAAGTGATACAATAATCTAATAGGGATGGTAAGTATTAATACTCCTTAGTAAAAAAAAAAATTGAAACAGTAAATCAAACGTACATTCAAAATCACATTAAATTATTTTGTAATTAGACATAAATTTATTGATGGATAGTTGGTAAGTATATAACGTTCGTCCAAATTGTTAGCTTCCTCATGTATAGATTTCTTGACTTTTTATCTGACATGGAATTTCTCTGCTTTGTTATTTTATCAAATGAAAAAACTCACAAACATTCTAATAAGGGGGAAACAAAATGAACACATCATTTAGACTTAGATCAAAGATTATTTGACCAAAATTCACTTGCATAACTTCTGAACGATGTTTGTAAAAGAGTATTTTGAAGGTACATGTATTAGGTATTCACTCCTCTTAATGATTGTTAATTCATATGCACTCGCATTTATGACAGAATGGTTATTTTCTTCATGATTTCACAGATAAAAAAAGTGTCAACTATTTACAAATTCCATAGGGCATTGACTCACAAACCTCACAATAGAGAACTGTAAAAGAAGAGATAGGAACAAACTGAACACGAGAGTGAAAATTTAAATTTGAATTGTATATGCCTAAGTCATGAAGTATTGCATGTCATATATAAGGTATATTTGGCCCCTCACACCAGAAACAATAGTTTTTGATAACAAATATTGTTCTACTCCTGTGGAAAGTACAGTGTACTTGTTTAAAAAAAACATGACATTTAAATTTATGAGAGAATCAAAGTATTCCTTGCCCTCCCTCACTGTGAGCATCACCTGGGAGATGTATTATATTTGCTAATGATTATGACAAGGACTAGTGTGTTCAAGCCTATACAATCTGTATGACATACAATTTGAATTCCTCCTTTTTTCTCACAAAATGCTTCTGTTGATATGCCGTCTTTATAAACCAGAGTTTGCAGAATTTATGGTCCTTGTGAATAGTTGATGCTACCTCTACGTAAAATGTTAGAAAGTAATACATTTCAAATATGCTTGCTAAAGAAAAACCGAATACTGGGTGTGTTCTTGGGTGAAAGTGATTATTTCTGTGGAGGTTTTGTCCTTCAATTGAACACTGCAAGAAGGGATAAATGACTGTTTGGTGGGATTAACTGTATCCATATTGTGAAAATCAATGCATAGGCCACACAAATGCTCCTCATTCCAGCTTAAAACACAACATTTTCAATTGTAAACCTTTGCTCCCGCAACAAGGTTGTCAAGTCCTAGAATATCAGCACAGAGAGATGCTGAATTTTGATCTTCATATACCTACTTTTCTAAATTTCATGCAGTGGTCCATCAAATATGCATTGATATTACCTACAGAGTGTATGGAAGGCCTATTGGGGGGGTGTTTCACAAAGCCTTTTTTCAACGATAAATGTCAAAAACCAGTGACAACTGCTGATAACCAATCAGAAGCTAGGATTTCACTAGCTTATAACAGAAACTGTCATTTTTCACTGATGACAAGTTTTGTGAAACACCCCCTGGTCCCTGTATTTCTTATATTCAATCCCGTCAGGTCTGAAATGATGGGCTGCTATACTAGAAGCTTCTGGACTATGCATTGATTCGAATAGGGGCTTTAATAGATGTTCATGATTTTTATTGTATGTACACTTGAAAATGTATATTACCATCAGTATTTAGTTATGTATGTTGTACTGTCCATGACATTATTTAATACTTTTGTGTGGTTACTGTGGGGTATGGCTGGGTAGAGGATGAGCATCTCTGAAGGCTCTCTCTCAAGACTATTGGTCAGAGTGGTTTGCACTTGGCTGAGGTCATTCCTGTGTGTCCTCACCGGTTGAACAAGGCTCCTGATTTATGTAACTAGAAAAGAAGACGACGATAAATGAACCGGAAAGGGAATGCATGTTTTGAGTGTCTACTCCTGCATGATGTTTTCTGGAGTTTCCTTCTCCTTGCCTGGTGCTAATGTTGTCATTAGAGAAACAGCTGATGCGTTGTAGGAAAGATGAGAGGTATGCTGAAATAGACTGTTTTGTACGTCTTCCCCAAGGCTGCTTGAGGAGGCCAACATCTAAATCACCTGGCTCTAAAACTTGTACTTTTGATATGAAAGCAGTGACCCTTGACCTTAGCGTTGATCTTACTATGGCACTTCATCAAGGTCTTCATCCAAGCTTGTTTCTTATTAAGAGTGTTGCCTACATCCTGATTCCTTGATAGAAAAACCTGCACACTGTACCTGTGAACTGTTAATCTCCAACTGCCTGTTTGCTGCCTGTACTCCTGCAACACAAATCAACTTGTTCAAAAGTTTGTTCCTGCTTGCCCTCCCTTCCTCAAAAGCTATGCTACGAGAAGTGTCCAAGATTGATGAACAACCTGTCCCCTGTTATCTGTGTCCAACTGAGTTTATCCACTGCCGACTATTTTGAGTGCCTTGATCTGAAGACTGTAGTTTTGTGATGTCACTGACCAGATGCGCATTTGTGATTCAGTTCCAGTCATGCCCTTCTTCTTGTTCAAATTCTCATCAATATTTAAAAGCAACCTTGACACTTCCTGTTAACCCAATGGCACAGCAATGATCTACCTTATGAGGCAAGGTACTGTTACAGTCACCTATCCATTTGCACTAATGATCTAATGATCTGTCCCGGAGGAGCTGAACTGATGTCTGTTTCTTCCATTCCTGCTTTGGCGATGTCTGCACCACTTCCTATCACAGGGTACCATCCAGGATTTTACAGCCTGCAGAACCTTAGCCACTTCCAACTCGGGGCTCCTTCCAGTATAGATGCCCCTCCTTCTCCTTTTTGCCACATTGTGTTATCACCCCATCTTCCAAAGGCATCTGAGTTCCTGCACCTGTTGTCATCCTACCTCATGTGTACATTAGCCTCTAGGTACGGTTCGCCCACAGTCAAAGTTAAGAACCGTATCATAGCTGGCTGATGTACACAAACTGTTCGAGTGACCTTCCAGAATCTAGAAGACATCCTTTCATCTATGTTTGTACCCTGTAGACATCTTTCATGGTTTCCTCATCTGCTGTCAGCGCTTCCATAATGAACAAAGTCTATCCTTTTGCTTGATATCAGCCCAGGACCTAGCCATGCTGTCAGTAATGATCATCCACCTTCAGCCCAGGAGAGAAATACATCCAAAATTTGCCCAATTTTCATAGTATTCCTGAAGTTCCCTTCATCAAGGCAAGGAGTCAACTCTGTCATCTAATATTCAACGAATCATCTGAAAGACGAGCCTATTTCCAAAGATCTGAGATTTAAATCATTGAAATCTGACGAAGCGTGGCCTTTGACAGTTCCTCCTTGTGCCACAGCTCCTTGATGACCATGGATTGACCTTGACACTTGGAATAACACCAGCTTGCATGTCATGAGTTTGTAAAGTGACTACTCTCAATATATATTGACAATCTGGTAAGTTCTTGTCCTGTTGGAGAAAGTTAGCTATCAACCATTCTGTGAAAATAGTTTTGTCCTGAATATACATCCTGAACACACATCTTGCAAATAAAAGGGACTTTGGACTTGAAGCAGCAAACTCACCACGTCTTGAAGTGACAGTGGTTCCAGTCTATCAGCGTTTGTAATTGTTGGGCTGATTTCCCTATGACTTTCCATGTTGCAGTATTATCAAATTTACTAGGTTTTGTATTTCTTGGAGCTTACGTACTTCATGTACTTGTGTGAGAGGTATGTTAAGTAGTGTATTTGATGCTCGGGCACATTTTTGTGATGCATGTATTGCACCTTTTTTTGTTATTTTTTTTTGTTCTTACATGTAACATAACGTCCTATTTTTTTTTGCTGTCGATTTCAACAAGTCCTCATAATAAATATCCATATAATATGTGGTTCCCTTATTCATAGATTAATGGATTCTTACTACAGTAGTAAGGTTGTAGTCTGATAGCCAATTGTGCAAGTGAGCAACTTTGTAGGTCTTATTATTATTATTATTATTATTATTATTTATCACTTATAATCAACATTTAATAGCATGTGCTTGGAAAAGAATCTTGTTTTAGGAATTTTCCAATGAAGTAATAAGTAATGTAAGCAGGTTACTAGCTCATGAGAAAATAGATGGCTGTTCTGAGGGAAAACATCTAGAACTTGAAGACATCAGTTGTGCTTGAAGACATCCTTGGTCCCTAGAAGACATCCAAGGTGCCAAGAAGACATCCTTGGAGCTGATCCTCATCCCTTGTCAGTGGGCTGATGCAAGTACTATTGCAGAGTGTTCAATAGTATCCTATCCCCTGTTAAATGTGTGTAATTTCTTTTCCAGTAATGCTAATTTACAGTGGCCACCAACCTGGAAAGATGGAAAATGCACTTGGTGAGCAGGTTTATTGGATGTTTAATACATTGCCTTTTCTCTGACAGGGGTTATAGGTGGCCACTGTAAATGAGTGTAAACGGATTTCGTAATTTTCTTTTCTTTCATGGATACTGTTTAATTATCCTCATCGTGGTTACATTTTTAGGTAAGCCCGGAGACCTAGACCAGTCACCAAAATCTAGGCTCATCCTTAACCAAGTTAAATCTCCCAGCTTTATACTTCCAGATACGGGAAAGCAATTTGAACAATCTGTATTTTCTTGTGTTTACAAAGTGGAGTCAACTGTCATTCTCAAATGGAAATAATTGATTCAGATGTGTTTGATTATTGGATGGTTATTATTAATATTATGTGTTGTAACATTAGCTGGAATTTAGTAGCGTTTAAACTAAATTCAATGATATAATGAACCATGCCCTATGACTTTGTTAAATAGTTTCTTGAGCAAAATTCTGTCGGCACATTTCAGTTATTTTGATAAAAGAGCTGTATGCAATTGCACTCATGCAAATTTAATTGTAATCTTTCTACCCCCTCTCAAACGATTTACTTTGGTTATTTAAAGTAGCACTTTTATAATCAATTTTATATAAAGTAAGACATGTTTTGCTTCATGTAAGGCACAATGAAAGAAAGAAGGAAGAAGAAGAAGGAACAAAAAATGATAGAGAATGATAGTTGGCTCCATTTTTAG